CAGGGGCGCCTGGGTGGCTCAGTCAGTTAAGTGGCCGACTTCAGCTCAGCTCATGATCTCACGGTTTGTGAATTTGCGTCCCATGTTGGGCTCTGTGCTGACAGCTCAGAGCCTGGAACCTGCTTCAGATTCTGTGTCTCCTTCTCTCTCTCTGCCCCTACCCCTGCTCACTCGGTCTCTCTCTCTCTCTCTCTCTCTCAAAAATAAATACACATAAAAAAAAGTCGCAAAAAATTCAGATGCGTCTCAGTTTGGAACCAGTGGTAGTATAGAGGTTATCCATCTCCACCTTTTTTCCCACCGGAAACAAAACCCTGGTGGTACGGTGAAAAAGACACACTTCAGTGGCCTCATCTGCACAGGGGAGCGTGGGCGCTGAGGCCCCTTACGAGTCCCGCCGGATATCTTTGATCCCTTCAAAGAATTACTTGCCCCCCTGCCCCACCCGTTTTCCAGCTCATCCTTTGTCGTCAGGCAGTCTAGTAAAGACCGGACAAAGCGGTGGGAAAGTCCTGAACGTGACACAAATCAGAGCGTTGGCCCAGCGCTTCACGGTTGGCAAAGCCCTCCCCGCACAGGAGCATCGGCGTTGGACACAGTGCTCCCCGAGTCCTTGCAGAAAGACCTCACAGTATTGCTTCCGTTATTTATTTTCTTAAACAAGTCAGTACCTGATAACGAAAGGAAACGAGAAGAGAGGGGCGCCCAGCGGGCTCAGTCGGTAGAGCACGCGACTCCCGATCTTGGGGTTGTGAGTTCACGCCCTCAAGCCCCACACTGGGCATAGAGATCACTTTAAAAAAAGAAAGAAAGAAATGAAAGTTCTGACTACCTGAAGATTAGCATCATGCCTTCTTTAATATGTTGATTTCAAGTCCCTTTTCCATTTATTGTTTTTGTTCTACGGAACATAATTGTGACCTCGTGTCTGTAGGGTGCTGTTTTCTGAACACGGCAGCTTGATTTCTCCCCACACTAAGTCCTTACGAGACGTAATTTTTAACGGTCTCGCGTTTCCTCATGGGCTTTATTTTTAGCGCAAAGTCTACCGTGAGTCGTAACGGTTTTTCGGGGGGGCTGTCTCCATATCAGAACTATCTGGTGAACTTTTAAATCATAGTTTTGGTTGTAAAATGTAGCAGCCAGATAGAAATGTCCCTAACACGTAAGCATCCAGCCTCGTGGACGGTAGAAGGTGCACAGTGACCAGACGTATCCTGTAAGCCGCATCCCACGAGGGTCACGGGCAACTTCGGGCACGCCTCTTCCCAGTCTGAGCGCCTCCCTTCCCCGTCCGCAGCCACTGCCCTCACTCGTAAGGCTTCTGGTCCCTGCTTTGCCTTATGAGCTTTCTGCCCTGTTACGTATCCCCAACCAGTGAAGCTGAATCTGGGCGGGAGGGCGTCTCTGTAAATGGCGCCACGTAGCGCGTCCTCTGCGTCTGCCCCTTTTCCTTACCGGTGTGTCCTTGGGTGCACAGGCGTGATGTGCACTCTGGTGTGGCCGCACCCCGGTTTCTGCACCGACCCAGCTGCTGACGCTCAGGGTTGTCTCCAGCCGTGCAGACACGTGCCCGCACACCGTCTCGTGTGTGTTTCTTGGCGCACTCGCGCACGTCTGGCCGTGGCCCGTGTGCCTGGGAGTAGTTACCAGGTCGCAGGTGCGTGTCAGTACCTCTCTTAGCGAGTATCGCCAGTGTCTCCAAAGTGGTTCTGTGCACCTGTACGTTTGGTCGGTATCACATGCTGGTTTTGAATTTTTTTCACGTTTATTCATTTATCTGGAGAGGGAGAGACAGAGCACGAGCAGGGGAGAGGCAGAGAGAGGGAGAGAGAGGGGATCGCAAACAGGCCCCACGCTGTCAGCACAGAGCCGGACGCAGGGCTCGAACCCAGGAGACTTGAGATCGTAACCAGAGGCGAAGTCAAGAGTCTGTCCCTCCCTGCCGTTTAGATTTCTTCTTTTATTGTAGAAAATGCTGTATTTTTTTTGTTGGGTTGTCTTTTTCTCGCCGCCCTGTAGTAATTCTCTATACATCCCAGGTACGAGCCCTCTGGTGGTCACGTGCTGACGCAGGGGGCTTTTCCCCTTTGGTGGCTTTGCCTTTTCGCTTGCTCACCGGTGAGTTCTGATGACCGGATGTTCTTGACTTTGATTCAATATAATCGTCAGTGTTTCCCCGTTACGGCGAGTGCTTTGTGTTTTCCCTGGTGACGTTTCCGAGTGGAAGCTCTGGGTCCGAAGCGTCGGTGGTCAGCGGGGATGTGAGTCCGGATGTGGCAGGTGAAGCTTGCAGGGACCATCCTGGGCGTCGGATGCTGGCCGAAGGGAAGCCAGGAGCTAATGGGTCTCGCGGGGAAGTGGCTCCAGCCTCTGTGCAGCGCTTGGGGGAGGTCACCGTGGAGGTCACGTTCCCTGACGTTGGACGGGTTCTGTCCCCCACCCCCCAGCAGCGGGCCGTGCCCCTTGAGGCTCGGCCCATTTCTGCCGTGTTTGTTCAGGGTGGCCCCGAGGTCCAGGGGGCACCGTGTGCGGGACGAGACCCCGAAAACACAGGTGGGGCCGTGACGATAGAAAGCGGCGTTGACACGCACTCTTTGCGGCGGAAGGCTGCCCTGCGTCACCCCCGCCTTTCTGCGCACCTGCCGGGGCCGGCGCCCCGCTGTGGTGCCCCGCCGACCTGCGGGCTCTCGCTTTCGGTTTCCAGCCCTGCTGGTCTGAGTCCTCAGCCCTGCGTTCGCTGCCTTCGGTTTGCATTCTCCTCCTCCTCTTCTCTTTTTCTGTGATTTAGGGCTCGTTGGTTTGTAATCCACAGCGGAGGGAGGGGCCCACGCTCTAAACGTGGGACTTCTCTCTCCGGGCGTCTGCGGACCCCCCACCTCCCCATCCCGTGAAGGGGCCGCTATGCTTGGGGGAGGGGTCACAGACAGTTCTGGAATCTGATGCACATCGTGCAGGGCGGAGGGGGCCCCAGCCTTATGTCTGCTCCCCTCACGGGTCCCTGAGCCCTCGGTTAAACGCTCCTGCTGCGGTGGAAGGACCCTGCGGTGGCTTCCCTCAGTAGAGCGTTTCCCCGCGAGGTGGTCTGCTGGAACACTACGACGGGTTCCTCTCTGGCACCCCCGTCCTTTGGGCCTCATCGAGGGGCTCTGTGTTCTAGAATCCTTGGTCTCTGCCTTAGATTCGGGACAGGATGCCGCGGCCATCAGTTCCTTCCTGAAACCTCTCCATAAAACTCTTCCTGCTGACCGTTTTCTACTAACCTGTCCTTCCGACTGACGTGAAGCCCCAGGCACGACCCCCAAGACCTTTATCCCGGGACCCTCTTCTGCAGGCACAGGTGCCCTGGGTGGTGTTAGGTGCCAGGGGCTGGGGCCGCACAGGCTCTTCGCTTTAGTGAGAGAGGGCGGATCGGGTTCGGGCACGTGTTTTTCTGCGGGAGGACAGAGCAGCTCCTATGTTGTGGTTTCTTAATTTGTCGTACTCTTCTCCGCACCCCCCCCCCCCCCACCGTGTGATTCTGAATAGCCCCATAACTATCTCCCTGTCTCCTTGCACACATCTGTCACCGTCTTGCACACCCCCGAAGGGTGAGTCTTCCCAGAGCATTCACTCGGTCCCCATCACCTTGCCCTTGGACAGCTCCCGCTCCCCTCATCATCTGCAGGATAAGCGCTAACCCTTTAGCCGGCCCGCCCGCCTCTGGCTCTGCCCTCAGCCACCCTGAGCCGTGCGCCTGCCCCGCGCCTGCCCCGCGCTTTCCCACGAGGCACTGTGTTTCCCGGTGCTGCTCACGGAGAAAGTCCTTTTTATCCCCGCGTGTGCAAGTCCCGTCTGTCCCCGTGGCGCAGCTCAGGTGCCGGCTGTTCACAGACCACGTCCCTGCGCACACCCATGAAAATGCAGCCACTCCCTCCCCGAAGACCTTCTCGAGATCCCCCGTTTTCCCATGGAGTTCGGGGGAGCTTGAGGGGGAGCAGGCCGGCCTGAAGTCCCGACCGTCCGTGTCACCGAAGGCCGTTATCAGAAAGCGTCGCGCTCTGCGTGAGCTGCAGGAGGAGGGAGACTGTTGGGTCGCGGGCTTCAGCTCCACCGGCCGATGCCAGGGTATCTCCCAGGTGCCTGTGCCGATCGGGACTTGCACAGCGGTGTGTCAGGGCCCCGTCCTCGTCCTTGCTCGCCCTCGACGTTGGACGTTGTCTCCCATCCCAGCCTTCGCGGCGTGCTCCCGCCAGGCCGGGGCCCCGCCAGGACGTCCGCCTGCTTCCCACCGGGACGGGCACGGCGCACCCTTCTCTCTAGAGCCGCGACCCGCAGGCTGCACTTGGGATTCTTCTCGGTTCCGCCGGCCGGAGCCGAGTCCTCTGGGGGACCGGGGAGTGTGGCCGCGTGCCCCGTGTCCCTTCTCCCAACGAAACGCCGGGAAGGAGTGGCTCGGGAGACCATTGGCGGGTGGAGAAGCTGAGATTAGCCTGCAGGAGACACTGAAGAAACTATAGGCGTCTTCAAATTAATCATCTCTCTGTACCTTCCTCTGATAGATATTAACTCCTTTCATGTTTTATTAAAACCTCACTTGAAGGGCTCTTAATAACAACAGTATAATTTGCCAAACGTGCGTTCGCTTCTATTTCAGAAATACGTTTGTGATTATCGGAGAAACCGTAAAGAGGGAGGAATAAGAAACGAGACGCCCGTGAATACCAAAATGGAATTTATAACGCGTTCATTTCGTTCGTCCCTCCCGCTCCCAAAAATGTCACGTCCGTTATTTTTGCGAAACGTTACAGAAGGGGGAATCCCAGTCCCTTAGGACAGAGATAGCCCCTAACATCTGTCTCTGTGACGTTCACGTTCGTTTGAGGCTAAAGTGTGTAAGTCAGATGATGTCATCTTCAACCGGTAGCCGTGGGGGTTTCGCGAGTTTAAGCGAGCAGGGCTTTGCCTCTCTGTCCTCCCCCGTACGTGAGCTAACGGCGTGCGCCCTCTGGTCTCTGCAGGTACGGCGTGAGTCCTGAGAACATCATCCTGTACGGCCAGAGCATCGGGACCGTCCCCACGGTGGACCTGGCCTCGCGTTACGAGTGTGCCGCAGTCATCCTCCACTCGCCTCTGATGTCAGGCTTGCGCGTGGCTTTTCCGGACACCAGGAAAACGTACTGCTTCGATGCGTTCCCCAGGTAAGCTCGCACCTGTGCCAGTGCTGGGGCGTCCGACGACCCGAGTTCAGCCGCCACCGTTAGCTGTGGGCACCGATAAATACTTCCTGAATGTGCCCAGGACTCAGACCCTGCGCCGGGCACGTTGGGGGTGTGGCGGCCACGGGGACGCATCCATCCGCCAGAGACTTCGTCCTCTGGGCCTCGCTCATCTGGAGAACTCTCCCAGACGATGTGCGAGGACCTTGCTGGGACTGACATTCAGGATTAGCTGGCTCGGCAGTGAATGCAAGATAAAAAGAGCCGTGCCCACGTATCCTAAAAACACCTCCCGTTCAGTATTCGCTCGTTCACGGAGACGGGCTCGTACGGTTGGACTGCAAAGAGCTCGATGCAAAATGTACGATGAGGCCATTAGTGGTCTCCACGCTGACATGCAAACCGCGAGCACCGTCAGGTTTGAAATCTCTTCCTCTTTCAGTCAGACGGGACGGGCGAGGGAACAGGGGAGGTGAGCCGCTGGCGGGCCAGTGACTTACGTGCTGGGCTGACAGGCCGCTGTCCTGACATAAGTGAGCAAACCCAGCCCGGCCCCAGACCCCTGCGAGCTGTCCATGTTGTCCTGCTGTTCCGCCCCCACCCCCTTGCCCGAGCACATGGACGAGAGCCCTGGGCCGGGTCGTCCCCGGCCGGCTTCCAGGAGGCAGCACATTTGCCACCTGCCCGTCCCTGCTGTTTCCTCGTCCCGCTAATGGAAGGAGCAGGAATGGCCGAATCCACCCCGCTCCCAAATGCAGAAACCGCGAGCCGGTGGCTTCTTGAATACCTCTGTTGGAAATTTACACTTGTTTTTTCTTTTTTTTTACAATCCGAGTTGAGAAGGAGCGCCTGGCCGGCTCGGTCGCTGGAGCGTGCGACTCATGGTCTCAGGGTTGTGAGTTTGAGCCCCACCTTGGGCAGAGATTACTTAAAAAAAAAAAAAAAAAAATCTTTAAAAAAAAGAAAAAGAAAAATCTGGGCTTGAGGAAAGTACTTTTCCTAAAAACGATTTGCCCGCTCAGCTTGTCCCGTCGCACGTTGCCGAAGCGGTCTGGGATTGTCACGGCGGTTCTGGCCGGCAGGAGAAGCCTCGGCAGAAATCAAGCCCGGTTTTAGGGTTTTGATCGACCCACTCGTGGCTCTCATTCTGCTCTTGCCGGAGGGGAAAGAACACCATTTGGTTACATAAACGTCCGCCCAGACTGTCTCCTCTTACAGAACGAGGCCTTCTGATAGCACCTTGGGTGAACTTGAGTTCTGTGCGGTTTGTACCAGGGTTTAATGAGATGCAGCTTCATGGGAAGCCTGACCCAGCTGCAGATTCCTAGTGGCGTGGCTGGGAATGCTAAGTGGGGCGAGTGCCCCTCAGACGTGGCCTTATTTGTGCCGAATTGGTAATGAGAGGCCAGTTTGTTGAAAGGGAGATGTTTGGCGTGTTTTGTGGGAAGCGATGTTAGGAGTTACCGGGGCAACAAAATGAATAGGTTGCTTCCTGACTCAAATTAGCATATACCTTAAAATATAGCCATGGCAACCAATTGCAGCTTATTAATTAACAGTGAACCCAGCAACTAATCCTTGCTGGCTGTGTCTGGTCCGTCAGGCACCGGGCTGAACATTCCGCCGCGAGCCTTCCTCACTTAACTCTTCGCCACGGCCTTAAGTTGGTCAAGTTGCAAAGGACTCATTTTACAGATTAGGATAACTGAGGCTGAGCCAGGTGAGCTGTTTGCCGAATTAAAGTAGGGGCGTGGGGACTGCCAGAAAGTGCCCTGGACGATTAATATGATGGATTCCAAACCACGGGCAGGCATGCAGATGTTCTCTTAGAGCTCTGTTGGTGCTTCTGTCTTTAAAAAAAGGTATTTCCTGTTTCCTTTTTCTATTACAAAAAAAGAAAGAAAGAGAGAGAGAGAGAAAGAAAAAGAAAGAAGGAAGGAAGAAAGAAAAAGAAAAGAAAAAGAAAGAAGGAAGGGAGGGAGAGAGAGAGAGAGAGAGAAAGAAAGAAGGAAGGAAGAAAGAAAGAAAGAAAAGAAGAAAGAAAGAAAGAAAGAAAGAAAGAAAGAAAGAAAGAGACAAAAGAAAGAAAGAAGGGAGGGAGAGAGAGAGAGAGAGAGAGAAAGAAAAAGAAAGAAGGAAGGAAGAAAGAAAGAAAGAAAAGGAAAAGAAAGAAAGAAAGAGAAAAGGATGAAAGAAAAGAAAGAAAGAAAGAAAGAAAGAAAGAAAGAAAGAAAGAAAGAACAGAGAGAGAGAGAGAGAAAGAAAGAAGGAAGAAAGAAAGGAAGAAAGAAAAGAAAGAAAACAAAGGAAGGAAGGAAGGAAAGAAAGAAAGAGGGAAGGAAGGAAGGAAGGAAGGAAAGGAAGGAAGGAAGGAAGGAAGAAACAGGGCGCCGGGGTGGCTCAGTCGGTTGAGGGTCCAACTCTTGATTTCGACTCAGGTCGTGATCTCACGGTTCGTGGGCTGGAGCCCCGTGTTGGGCTCTGCACTGACAGTGTGGATGGAACCTGCTTGGGATTCTCGCTCTCTCTCCCTCCTGCTTGCACTGTCTCTTTCTCAAAATAAATAAGAAAACTTAAAAAAGAAAAGAAAAGAAAAAGCTTCAAGTTAAAAAAAGAAAAGGAGTTGTGATCATTATTTGGTTTGTAGCTTATTTTCCTTTACATTTAGACTCAGACATCTAACTGGAGACACTGTCCAGGCTGTAGAGATTCTCCTGAATTGTGCAGAACAGCCCCAAGTCTGTTCCGTCAGTAAATATCTTTCTAAGTGAAGATAACTGGACTCCCAGATTCTCAGAAGAAGGAGTCTCGTTAAAATTAAACAGGAGGGGGCGCCTGGGTGGCGCAGTCGGTTAAGCGTCCGACTTCAGCCAGGTCACGATCTCGCGGTCCGGGAGTTCGAGCCCCGCGTCAGGCTCTGGGCTGATGGCTCGGAGCCTGGAGCCTGTTTCCGATTCTGTGTCTCCTTCTCTCTCTGCCCCTCCCCCGTTCACGCTCTGTCTCTCTCTGTCCCAAAAATAAATAAAAAACGTTGAAAAAAAAATTAAAAAAAAAATTAAACAGGAGAAATGGGGCGCGCCTGGGGGTCTCAGTCGGTGAAGCGTCCGACTTCGGCTCAGGTCATGATCTCGCGGTCCGTGAGTTCGAGCCCCGCGTCGGCCTCTGTGCCGACCGCTGGAAGCCTGGAGCCTGCTTCGGATTCTGTCTCCCTCGCTCTCTCTGCCCTTCCCCCGCTCGCGCTCTGTTTTCTCTCAAAAATAAATAAACATTAAAAAAAAAATTAAACAGGAGAAAAGCGGGTTGGGGATCTGCGAGATTGCATGCTGGCACCCCTGGCCCTGGTCTTGGCAAATCCCTGGCACGTCCTGAAACCATCGGAGGCGTCACGAGTCACTCGTAAAAGTTGTGTGCGGTTGTCTCGAGAGCTCTGTTACCTGCACAGGCTCAGGCCTGCGGTACTGATGCCTCCCTGGGGTTAGCGCCCTCCGTGGTTACCGGGAGGTGGGCTTTCCTGTCTCCTCCTTTCTCGTTGGAGAGTGAGGCAGGTGTACGGAAAGGGCAAAGCGCCTGGCTGTGGAAGACGTTTACTCTTTCAGCAGCGGGGTCCCCAAAGACGGTAACACTTTGTCTCCTCGGTAGCTGTGGCTGGGACCAAACACAGAAAGAAGTCACGGGGGGGGGGGGGGGGGACTCTGGGGAGGACACCCGGCCAGATCCGCCTCTCTTGCCGCGTCCACAGGTTAAGTGGGGGTCCGTCCGTGGGCGAAGTCGCCTGCCCAGCCGGCCAACGAGGCTTAAGGTCTTGAGCTTCTCTTTGGGAAATGTCTTCGGACCCTGCAGCACATTCCTTTGGAGATCCTCAACTATCCATCCTTTGAGGGTAGATTTGATTCTTGTCAACCGTCCGAAATCATTCGGACTCAAAGCTAGGCGCTGCATTGTGTTTACAGTGCTAAGTAGCACAGTGTTTATGGAAAGCGAGGCATCAGCACTTAGGAAGTGAGGTTTGTGGGGATCTTGTCCATCGATTCTGAAGCCGTGTCGCCAAGAAGACGGAGACCCCGGGCCGTGTGGATTAGGTGTTCAGCTTTCCGAAGAGATGCTCTGGCGGACATGCTAAGTTCTGGCCTATTTACTTTTTTAAAGAAATCCTCTCTCCAAAACGTGAACATGTCCGAAATATTAGTTACTGGATGGTTAGTCCGGAGGCTTTTAGCTGTTCTGTTTTTAATGAAATACTTTAACGAAAACACAGTGACCAAGTGCGGTATGGTGTTCTTGACCGGATCCTGGAACAGAAAAAGGGCATCAGTGGAAAAACTAACAAAAACCCAAGCAAGGTCTGGAGTTTAGGTTACGGTGACGTGCTGACATTGGTTTCTTGGTTCCGACAATCTTGCCGTGGCAACGTATGGTGTGAGCCTTACGGGAGACGGGCCGGGGCGCACAGGAACTCTGTTATCTTTGCACCTTTTCTGGAAATCCAAGATTATCGCAAAATGAGAAGTTTTTTGGGTTTGTTTTTTTTTTCAGTTTATTTATTTATTTTGAGAGAGAGCAGGGGAGGGGCAGAGAGGGAGAGGAGACAGAGGATCCCAAGCAGGCTCCATGCTGTCAGCACAGAGCCCAGCGCGGGGCTCAGACTCACCTACCGCGAGATCGCGACCTGAGCTGAAACCCAGAATCGGACGCCCACCCAACCGAGCCACCCGGGCACCCCCGAAAAGTTTACTTAAAAAAAAAAAATGAGTTACTAGGAAGGTATTACCCTTCCTCACCTGTGATTGCTGATCCGGTCACATTAGGTGCAACGTACCTTCCCCGGGGCGTCACTAACGGAGCCCTTTTTCTCCCCACCCCGTTCTCTTTTGCAGCATTGACAAGATCTCTAAAGTCACCTCTCCTGTGTTGGTCATCCACGGTACAGAGGACGAGGTCATCGACTTCTCCCACGGCCTGGCCATGTACGAGCGCTGTCCCCGAGCCGTGGAGCCCCTCTGGGTGGAAGGGGCCGGACACAACGACATAGAACTTTACGCACAATACCTGGACAGACTAAAACAGTTCATATCTCACGAACTGCCTAATTCCTGAAGAAGGCGCCTTGATCGTACCTCATTTACTGCGAACACACGAGTCCTCTGTTTCGCACGTGCTTGAACTGGGCAGCGGTGACGGTGTGACAGCCACGGGGGAAGCGCCCGCCTTTCGGTGTTCCAATCAAATTGCTGAGGAGGTCCCAGCCTTCTGTATCTGGAGGCGGCTCTCCTCGTTCCCACAGCACGCTAAACCGCACATCTGTGGCAGCCAGCGTCCCCCGCCTGGCGGGAAGGGGGGAATGGGAGCTGGGTGCCCGACGGTCGGTTTTCCCGTGCTGTGTGGGGAATGCTCACGTCTGTCGCCCCGCTGTCCCCGCCGGTCACGGTTCCCTTAACGCAGGACTCAGCCCTCTCCCCACCAGTGTTCTCAGTATTTGACACGCAGCTCTTTTTCCGGCCGCTGGATTCATGGGTTCGATCCATTTGTGAAGCTGTGATTAGAATACCACCGGAAAACTCGGGTGATGAGAATTCATTCCTTTGCTAAGTTTCGTTCACAGGCTGATCTCTTACCCCAAACAAACCAGCCCAAGGGTGATTTACTGGAACGATCATGAACAGGTTCATCCACTGGAACCATGTGAACATAACTGGAATATTCTTAATCAAAAGGAAACTGGGGTTTTTTTAAGCATAAATTTATTACTAGTCCACAGAGTTTTAATATTTTGATGGTCCGGTTGGTCTAACACAGAGCCTAGCCGACTTTCCTTCTGTGAAGCCCTCCTGGTAGGACTTTTTTAAAGTACTGTACATATTTGCAATTGCATTGTGCATATAGATTCTTAATGGGTAATTTCCTTTTGTCGGGCTACAAGGCAAACTGCAGATCCCTCGTTTGTAATGTAAATGATTGAATACATTTTGTTAATATGTTTTTATTCCTATGTTTTGCTATTAAAAAAATTTTATAACATTTCCAAGACAAAAAAAAAAAAAATTACAAGTTGATGCTTTGAACAACTTACGTAATGGAAATTTCACTAAACTAATCCTTTTAGTTTAGGAGCTACTTGGGTTTTGACACTGGAGCTGCGCCGAGTAAGCATCAGAAATGGAGGATGCTTAAAAATTGCTACATTGCTCATCTTGGTTGGGGGTTTGGGTTGGGGGGGTTCCTCGGTTTTGATTCCATTTTTCTTTTCAAATTTAAAAGCCTTAAATGTACTGTAAGCCTCAGATTGTCGTACAGCTGGATCGCGAACGATTGCCAGTCTGTGTACTGTGGTGTGGAGAGAGCACGGCGGTTGGCCACGGAATAAAGAATGCATGGATCAGAGCGTGACTCCCACCGTCCTTTCCTTCCTCTCCGCGTCAGAGATGGTCACGAGTGAGAAAACGCTATGTTGTTCAAGAGGAAACCCTCGGGGCTTTCCGATTTCACTGCCTCCCGCAGGGCGTGAGCCTCTGTCCTGCCAGAGACCCGAGCGGACTCTGGAAGAAGCCAGGGCGTCCGGCGAGTGGCAGTAAAGTGCAGCCGGGACCCCGGCAGAGTCTGCGTTGGGTCCTGGGCACGAAACAGGTGATGAAGGCACCACGGCCGGGGGGAGCGGGGGGGTGGGGGGAATGGTGCCCGCTTTTTGGGAAACCCGAATCAACTGCGGTCCATAGTCGTTTCAGCCCTTTGACCACTGACCAGAAAAAGAGCAAGTGACAGAGGCTCGTCTTCAGCTCTGGGGACAGACCGCCTGAGCGCGCGGAAAGAGGGAGCGTGGGCAAAATGGAGGTGGAAGGGGACAGGGTGAGCTCACGTGAATGTGTGTTCCAGCACAGGGCAGGCTACTTCCTGGTCTTAGGTGGGTACCGGTAAGGGGGCGCCTTGAGACGTCTGGTGTTAGGTCAGTACCTATAAGGGGGAGCCTTGAGACTTCTGGTATTAGGTGGTGCCTGTAAGGGGGAGCCTTGATGTGACTTGTTTGTATCCACTCAAAGTAGCTTATGTTTTCTGACTCCCGACTCCTTTCCCAAAACCAAGGGGACGGTTTTGCCCGAGTTCCGCATGGGGACAGCCTTCCCCTGAGGACAGTGTGCGCGGTTACCGTGGGGACCCCGAGAGAGACCCCATTCACGAGAGTAACACGTGCAAGTAATGAACCTAGGAGGCGTGGTCCCTTGTGTTTTCTGCCGTAAGATGGACTTGGGATGCGGACCAAGCCTCCCAGTAGAAAAAAGCGAACATTACTGAATAACATGGAAGAAATCTCCGCAAGCAGATGCGTGAACTGGTGAGGAGATAAAGACCATGCGGGTGATTTGCCAGGTGCAAAGGAGAACAGACAGGGAAGAGGGCATCGACCCCAGTGTTGTCTTGGGTGGAATTTGCTGGACTGGGTTCGCCTGAGCCTTGCCTGCCCAGTCAGGTAGAGCTCGAGGGACAGGAAGCAGAACTCTTACCAACCCAAGAATAGGAGGGAACATACACAGAGGTTCTCTCAAAACAAAACAGCAGGTGTTTTACTGAGCAGGTAAACAACAGAAGCATTCTTTTGCTTTAGATTGGGAATTAGCCATAGTAGGCATTACCCTCGCTGCTGAAAATTACACAAAAGACTGTAGCGAAAGGCGGGAGGGAGAGACAGAGAAAGAAAAGGGAACAAAAGAGAAGGAAGGAAGGAAGGAAGGAAGGAAGGAAGGAAGGAAGGAAGGAAGGAAAAAAGAAAAAAGGACAGGAGAAAGAAAAAAAAGAAAGCAAAAGGAAGGAAGGAGAAAGAAAAGGAAGAAAAAGGAAAAGAAAAAAAAACAGATGAAAAGAAAGAATGAAAAAGGTAGAAAACATGGCAAAACCAGCTGAATATGTCCTAAAGCCAGACTATTGTGGGGTGTGCACGCGTGTGTGCGTGTGTGTGCGTGTGTGTGTGTTTGCTGGCTTTATTAGTACTTTAGTCAGTCGACTCAAAATACATCAAAACATTGTTTCTCTAAAGCACAAGAAGAAATCGATAAATACGTTAATTCGGATAGCAGCAAATATCCAGGCGGTCTCTATATATCATGCTCTTTACACAGAAATCACTCTGCCTGCACCCCTCACCCGGGAAAGCTTTCAGTCCGGCGGTAGCGGGACAGCGGTATCATGCGCCCATAAATGTATAACACGCCAAGTAGTAGCAGGTGCCGCGAAGCAAAATCCAGCAGGACAAGGGTCATCAGTCTGCCGTCCGGCCAGAAGCCAAGTCCCCCACCTCCAACTGATGGACGCCCCGTCAGATATGCGAGCAGACGTTGCGTTCCTGGAAAGGACAGGGAAGGGTGGTTTTGCTTTGGAGCCGGAGTTGCTTTATGGTTCCTGCCTATGCTCAGAACAGAGCCTGGAAGCTGCTGGACCCGCTAACAAGACAGAAGGTGGGTGCCTCCCTCGTGGGCGCAAAGAGCCTGGTTCTGTGAACTGCTTCGCTGCGCCTCGTTTCTGTCGGGGGACACCTGTAAGAAATGTACACTAAATGGCTTTATTTTTTTTCATGTTTATTTATTTCTGAGAGAGAGACAGAGGTGGAGAGAGCCTGAGGCAGGGCGGGGGGTTGCGGACAGAGAGAGAGGGAGACACAGAACCCAAAGCAGGCTCCAGGCTCTGAGCTGTCGGCACAGAGCCCGATGCGGGGCTGGAACCCCCAACATTAGCCTCTCAGGTAATTCCAACTGTGAGATCATGACCTGAGCGGAAGGCGGATGCTTAACCGACTGGGCCACCCGGGCGCCCCTATGCTAAATGACTTTAGATCAGAGGTCAGACAATGTTTCCCTTCTAGGGTCACATAGCGCATGTTTTCGGCTTCCGGGGCCACATGGTCCCCACACTCAGCCTCCCAATGTGTCACGGCTGCACCGTAGACGTTGAAGGGAGGGCACGTGCCGTGCTCCAATGACCTGACTGATAAAACCAGGCGGTGGGCCAGATTCGGCTCGCGGGCTCTCATTCGCCAGTCCCTGTCGTACAGATTCTCCTTTTAATGTTGCTTGTCGGCTGTGTTTTACTCCAAAAATAACGCATGCTCACGGGGGAGAGTACAGCTCTATGGGACACGAAGTGAAAAGCCGGGGGTCTCTCTCGCCTCGTCGCTCCCCCGTCACTACCCCACTCCTCAGAGGGGACCCCGCGACGTACCGGCCTCCATCTGGGAAGGAACCTCTGGCCTCCCGCCTACGTCCGTGCCCGTGCCATCAAGTTCTCGGAGTCATTTAAGGAAAGGCAAACAAACAAAAGGGCAGACTGACCGGGCTGGGGAATGCTTCTCCTGCACAGCCCGCTGGCTGGCTCCTTAATGACAGACCCTCGTCCCTCCCAGGGCAAGACGCAGGGGGGCTTCTCCTTAAAAACAAGACCACTCGGTGCATAATTAGTGGCCACTAGAAAAAACAAAATGTTCTTTCAATCGGAGCTCGTCTATCAAGCCGAACGACGCGCGGAATTCATTCGTTCATTCATTCATTCATTCATTCTTCATCCAACCATATTTATGACCCCCAAACTCTACTTTGCTCGGTTCTGGGGATGAGGCAGTCATGAAGTCAAAGCCCCCGTCCTCTGGGAGCTTATATTCTGGGAGGGGAAACAGACAAGACACAGGGAAACAAATAAAATAAGCCAATCATGGTGTGTGTCATAAAGGAAACGATAAACACGGGGAGGAGGTGAGAAAGCATTTAGGCTTCTGAGAGGGTAAGTGGTTCAGCGTTCCACCTGTGGAATCCACCTGTCGACCTGAGCTTGAACTTGAGTGCCACCGGCTATTAGCTGCCTGTCTCAGGGACACCGCTGCACCTCTCCGTGCCTCGGTTTCCTCACCCGTAAAATAAGGACGGTTGAGTACTTCTCTCATGACGTTAGCGTGAGGATCGCATGAGCCTAGGATGCACTGGGCTCCCCGAGACCACTAGCGATCAGCGTCTGGAGAAACAGAACATTAGCGAGGGGCCTCTTGGGAGCGTGTGGGTAGAGGACACCCTTTCCTGCCCCGCGTCCTCGAACTCACGCTTTCTCACTGTTATCTGTAGAAGGAGTAACTGCTATGTTTCTCTTCTCTACTCACCGTGCGTTTCGCACGTGGCTGTGACGGACGGCCATTGTACAAATCCACGCACGTCGTTCTCAGACTTCCTGGTGTTTTATTGCGAAGCATTTTTCTAACCGGCCAATAATTTACGCTCAAGTCCTGTCACGGTAGGCCGGTGGGTCTCAAAGTGGGGGTCCCTGGACCAGCAGCCTCAGCATCGCCTGAGAGCTCACTCCCAGGGCGGATTCTCGGGGCCACGCAAGCCGCGCTCGATCAGAACCCCTGGTGGGGACGGCGGGGCTGGTGGGGGGCTCGGGGGTCCATTTGAACAAGCCCCGTGGGCGATCGGATTCGGTTTGTGTTAACATTTGAAAATCTCTGAGCCAGGTTATTTGACGTTGAAATGAAAAAGGGGTCCTACCGAGAACAGCTCCTGTACTGCCCTGCTCTAGGCAACACTGCGGTTTGTGGCCATAGTAACAGGTGACCAACAGAACAGGATTTAAAGCTGTCCATCAGTGACGCCTTCCTTCAGTGCGTTCCCAGCTCCCGAAGGCCGGCCAGTCGGCCACAGCCTGGCTCCGGGGACCAAGCCTCCTTGGCAAAGGGTCACTCGGTCCCTAAAATCTCCCGCTGGTGAGAGTCCACGAGTCCCTGAGCCCCGCCCTGCCCGCTCGGTAGGAGACCATCATTGTGCTGGGCTCACTGCTTGGCCAGGGACGGATCCAGATGCACTGTGCTCCAGAGGCACTGTGGTGATGTCTTCCTTCGACACCCCAGGCAAGCCGGTGGCTTTAGCCCACGGGCGCCCACGCCCCTTGACAGGTACGGGGTAGACAGCATCGTGAGTGCATGGGGTGGGGCGCCGTGAGGAGTCAGGAAGTGGCGTCCTGGACAGACACTCACATTGTTTTTTAATGCTTATTCATTTCACACACACACACACACACACACACACACACACACACACACACCTGTGGGCAGGTGGGGCTCACCTGGGGTCTTCGGGCTTTCCGTCTGCACGTCCAGGTTAGTCCCGCCCCTTCGCTGTTGTACAAGAGGTGACACAAGGCGGGGAGAACTGCCTCAGAGGAGAGATTGATTTGGACAGTTTAAGCACAGTCCGCGCCTACGGGTTGCACTTGTACACTTCTGGAAAGAAGGCGGAAGGTTTCGAGGCATCACAGGAAAAGATCAATGCCTGTGTCATGTTGCCGCTGAAGCCACGGAGGACACTTGGAGCTGAGAGCATCCGCTAATGTGCTCCTTGGTTGTCTGGGAATTACTTAGAGTA